ATTCCAATAAGAGGATACCTTTGCCTATAAAAATAGATTTCGTAGTTTGATGTCTTCATTAATTTTTTTAATAATGAAAGAACAACTTCATTCAAAATAAAATAAAATAGTGGGAAAAACTTTGGTGAAATTATTTATATCTATCAGTCAAATTTTCTAATCATACTTGTTATTTTGTTATTATTAATTGATAATTGATGAAATGCCTATGTGCACTTGTAAATTTACTTGTGGCAATTGTAAGTTTTTGTCTAAGCTATTATGATATGAATGAGGATTTATGTTACATAGCTGCTTATTATTTTGCTATTATTAAGTGAACATGGATATGTGCACTTGTAAATTCACCTATAAAATTTGAACATTTGTCTTTTTTCTTCCTATTATTATTTAATAAAACATGTATTTATGTGTAAATTCACCTGTGATCGTAATATAATATATTATATAAGGAATTCAACTTAACTTTTGCCCTAAAATAAAATATATAAAGTTGGATTTCATCAAAGAGCAAGAGAACTTAATTATGGGACTCATTGGAGTCCAATTTAAACAGCGACACACAATAACCTTCTGGCAATATGCAGAAGTATGCTCACAGAGTCCTCACGGTATCTTCATTAGTTGCGTTTATGCCTTTTTTCTGTTCTCTTTTTGTTCCTGTTCCTTTTCTATCTTCTTCTTCTAACACAACAAATCAACGTAAATCTTCGTGCTTCAATCATTCACTCACAGGCAACATATTTTCTCATTTTTTTCCATTTATTTTTTCATTTTCTTCCTTCTTTCGTTTTTTTAAAGGCTTATCCTGCACATAAATTTAAAAAAGCACAGTACTAGTATGAGTAGATTTTGCAGTAAAGCTCCTTTTTATCATGTAATTAATTGTAGAAAGAAACTACGATTATATAAGTATAAAATATTTATAAATTTAACCTAATTTATCTAAAAATATTCACCTATTCAATTATCTAATACACACTTATCATACAAAAATTGATTTCTTTTATATTACTTGTGTGTGTATCAATTATCCTTTTGTGGTTAGCTCAAATTATAAGATTTTAACATAAGCTAAGTGAAAAGTTCAAACCCTCCTAACTTAATGAAAACAATATAGTTCGGTCATTGAGAATTACAATTAAATTAAAGTGTATATTTTGAAATTTTAAAAATATATAGTTTCAACAAAGTTGAAAAGCTAAGTGATAAAAATTTTAAAGGATGAATATTTAAAAATATTGAAAGTAAATTATTCTTTTTTAATAAAGAAATTAGGGTTAAGGTGCATCAAACACCCTGAAGTATTTTGTGGGGTGCATCTAGCACCCTAAAGTATTTTGTAGTGTATCCAGCACCCTGAAGTGTTTTTTAGGGACGTTCAGCATCCTGAAGTATTTTTTTTTTTTGCCTTGACGCTAAATGCACCAAAAAATATTTTTTGTTGTTGGACACACCTAAAAAATTATTCTTTGAGATGCTAGATACACCAAAAAATACTTTAAGGTATTGGATGCATCTAAAAAAATACTTCAGGGTGCTGCATGCACCATAAAATACGTTGGAGTACTGGATGTACCTGAGAAAATACTTCGGGGTACTGGATGCACTTTAACCCAATAAATTAAACTATTCCTGAATAATATTAAGGATTAACTGGTAGTGAAAGTATCAAATTTTGAGCAAGCTGCGAATCTCAAAATAACTATGGAAATAGTCTTGGTCTATTAGCAATTTGCTATAACAATAATAAAAATTATTAACTAATCAGAAATGCCCAATAATGGGCAGTCAAGCTTTCCTCTTTTCTTTGTGCGTTCTTCACTTACAAATATCGTGATTGCAGATCTTATTTGGCACTGTTTGCATATTTTGTCCTCATTCAGCTAATAATTTTTCATACACCAATTGAATTAATTTGAGCAATTGCTGCTAATCTTAAAATTGACTCTAACTTTGTAAGTAGTCTTGGTCTATTAACAAATTGTTGTCGTAGTAGTAATAGTTATAAGGGCATATGTGCAAAAATATCCTTTATAATGTCCAAAAAGAGCACCTGGCACTATGAAAAAAAATATTGGGAACAACATTTTAAAACAGAGCAAAAATGCCAGTGCTTTAACTCTGATAAACATCCGTTTTTCTTTTTACTCACCCAGTGTCCACGTGTCAATTGCTCCATCCCACTCAACCCTGCCTCCTTCTCATCCTTCCTCTCTCTCGGGTTGCAGCCTCTCTAATCTCTACCCCACTTTGCCCCTCGCCTCCTTACTGAACATTTTGTCTTTGTTTCTTCACTTCACAGCTCATCGTCTCTACCCCACCATTTACCCAACTTCTACTTCATTTTCTCCTTCTCTTGTGTTTTTGCCTGTGCCATTCCTTGCTTCATCGGCATCAGCTAGGCATCTACATCATCGTTTCCTCTTGCTTGCATCACCACCTTCCTTTTATCCTCAATCAACATCGACCGCGTCATAATATTCAATGCCTACCCTAGTATACTGTGTGACTTCAACAACACGAGCATTGTCATCACCGTCAAAAATAGCAACATCCTTACTCTCTCCAAGCTCGCCGCCGCTCAATCATGGGTGTGATCGACAACATCCTTCCATTTCACCCTAATGCTATAACTGTTCAGCTTCCACATCATTTGTTTTTTTTTTCTACTCAACTTTTAGTTTGTTGTGTTGGTTAAAAAGAATAAGGCAATCGGGGGGATGAGAGAGAGAGAGAAAGGGTAACGACGAGAGAGTGGGTTGATCAAGATAAGAGAGCACATGGGAAGAGCATTAGACACATGGAAGCTAGGTGGGATCCAAAAAAAGAAAAAAAGTAACGGATGTTTACAAGAGTGATGTAAAACAGGAAGAGGAAAAGGGGAAGGGAAGAGATCAGAAAGAGTAGAGGAGAGAAAATAGAGAACAAAGAAGAGGAAACCAGTAGAGAGAAAACGATAATTACAATATCATTCAATAATCAAGTCTGCCCCCTAATAAGAAACCTAAGTTTCATTATTATACTAAAATAATAAAACTGAAAATATCAACAACAACAACTAATTCTAATAATAAAATAATAAAATACTGAGAAATCTAAATGAATCCTGAAAATGTAAATAATCTAAATATCCTAGATAATTCAAATATTCTAGAAATATAATAAAATCATAATTATTTCTTTTCATAGCCCATCAATTCTCCCCTAATTGAAAAACTCAGCTCCTGATGAGTTAAAATTGATGCCTAAATCTTAGGAGAGAAGGGAGGGATAAAGAGCTCTGCATAGTACTTCGATCTGGGAATCCCTTCCAATGAGTGAGGTGCCAGAAGAGGAACAATTGGCAACAGTGAGTAGCTGGATCTTGGGTAATATCTGGAAAACCTTTCCAACATACAAGATATTGTTGGATTGATTTGTTCAGTATGAGACAATCTCAGGAGATGTAGCTTTCAAACAAGATAGCACTATAAAATGATGAAACTGAATCTTGTTGGCCATAATTTGAGAAGAAACTACTTGCACTTGTGCCAATTGAACAACCTAATCAATGTTTGAAAAAATTTTACCGTTGACGATAATAAAATCAGGGGTCTCACTCAATTGAATTGCAAACATGTTCAGTGGTGCTTGTTGAGTATTATGAGTGGCTGCCACATGAGTTGTGGGCACCACTTCACTTGGCTTTACAATATCTTCTTCCTTGTTTAATGAAGGAGCTTTGATCTCTATTAACTCGTTTTTCAAACTTATTGAGTGCGTAGTCACATAATTGCTTCCAACAGTCAAGTTTAGCTTGAAGTTGTTCTATACACACCTTGCAATCAAGTTGTTGTTGCATGATATGCTTATAGAGGCAATGATATGTAGGATCAACATAGTATTGACCAACGTAATTATCATAATCAGCATAGTCATACTACACTTGGTTGGCATACCAATAGAGGTGAGTAGTGTATCTGGTATAGTCATGATCAATATCCTTATACGTGGTGTCATGTGCATAGTGACACTTCCTATAAGGATATTCTCTATAACTCATGTTTAAAACTAAATAACATAATAATTCTTTTCTTGCTCTCCCCTTTTTTTTTTCCTTTCTAAATTTCCTTCTCTCTAAATACAACAAATAAATATCAATAAAAAAACTAAAAAAAGAAATATACCCCTAATCTTTCAGTAGCTTCAGGAAGGTCCATAACTGAAGAATGGCTGAACAGGTCAAAAGTGAAATTTTCACAAGTTGAGCGTAATTTTTGCGAAAATTGAATTCTAGATGATTTAGAGATTCAGACGGAGCGTGAGAGTGCATGGAGACTCTTTTGGTAGCGAAACTTCTAGATTTGGCCGTGTTCCTCAAAAGAAGTAGAACGGTGCTGATGGTTTTGTGATCAGAAGTTGAGACGGTTAGACCTGGGATTGGGGATGGCCCCTTTTTTTTTTTTTTGAGACGGTGGCTCGAGAAAGAGGTGTTCGGTAGATGAAAAAAAGAAAATTTTTTTAAATAGGTGAGGAAGTAGCTAGAGAACTAGGTTCTAATGCTAAATTGATATAAAACAGAAAAAGGAAAGGGGGAAGGGAAGAGATCAGAAAGAGCAGAGAAGAAAAAAATAGAGAACGGAGAAGAGGAAACCAATTGACAGAAAACGATAATTGTAATATCATTCAATAATCAAGTTTGCTGTCTAATGAGAAACCTAAAATTACTTATACTAAAATAATAATAAAACTGAAAAAAATAACAACAACAGCTAATCCTAATAATAAAATAATAAAATACTGAGAAATCTAAATCAATCCTAAAAATGTAAATAATCTAAATATCCTAGATAATTCAAGTATTCTAGAACTATAATAAAATCATAATTATTTCTTTTCATATCCCATCAAAGAGTTAACGGAAGTGGCACTTTTGTTATGTTTTAAAATGTTCATACGTATTTTTGCTCCTGGTATTTCTTTATGGTATCATGTGCTCTTTTTGGACATTATAAAAGGTATTTTTGCACCTTCACCCTGGTGGTGGTTGTGGTGGTGGTGATGATGATGATAATGATGGTGATCGAGTTAATTAAGCAGATATGCTCAATATAAAAATCATGGTCTTTGTCCTATATGGGTGGTTATGCTTTTCTCTTTTCTTCTTTCGTTAGTTCTCCACTTACAAATATCGTGATTGCATAACTTATTTGGCATTGTTTGCAGCTGCTTCTTCTTGGAGATCTCATTTTCATCGTTTCTAATTCCTCTCAAACTCGTTATCACCACTCTGTGTTCTTCAGATTTCTTCGGTAGCTTCCTTCAAGTTGCTGACGAAATCAATTCAAATCAAGCTTCTCATGTACTCTATCTTCTGTAAGTGGGTTACTTTCTTGTCATTTTCACAAAAAAAAAAAGGAACTCTTCCTTAGAACGTTTTGGACTGCTTGCAAGTATTTAAGTCTTTAGATCTGAATTAAATCTTTAAAAAAAAAAGCTGGTTTAAAGATTTATTTTCTTGCTACTATTTTTCTGCATATATCGTTGCTTTTGTTGTGATCAGTCATGTATAAAAATCTAAGAAGAAGATGAAGAAGAAGTATGTGTTTAAGAAGTTTTGGTGCTGTCTTCATCTGTGCTTTATCAGTGACACAAGAAAGTGGTGCTAATCATAAAGGTAAATTCTTTGTGTTGATGATTAAGTATTTTGGACTTGGATTGCTACGAACAATACTATGTTTCTTGTCTAACTTTTTCTCTATCTGCTTTATACAGAACTTTAGTGGCTGCCTGTACACATACATCTCAAGCTCCGGAAGGTCAACTTCTCGCATCGAACAAGGTAACTTTTGGATTTGTTTGTCTGGGAGTATTGTTTATGGACTGATAAGATCTGATATTTTTAAATAGTTTAAATCTAATATACTTTAAGATTTAATATGCACCCAGCACCTCCATCACCTAAAATATTTAGTCGTGTAATTTTGCCCATCATATATTAAAAACGGAGAGCAATTCCCACATATAAGCTAACTACTAAACCTTAACCTCCGTTAGTTCTCAAACCCGTGTTGCTGTTCACCATCTTCATCCTCCATCCTCTAGTAAGTTAAACTTGAAAGACTTCTGGTAACGAAGATGAATGCTATGAAGAAAACAAAATGAAAGTGGCTATACAAGACGAATTCAAGGGAGAAGAAAAGAGAAGGGCCATTTAGTTATAAACATCATATTGAACCCCCAAAATCCTAACCGTTGACCTCTCCACGTCGTCATGACAACTCCTCCAATCTCCTCTCCGCCATCGCGAACCAAACACGGTCCGCCACCTCCACTCTTGGCTTCTTTATTTATTTATTTATTTTCTAAGAAGCTTCTTTAATTTCAAATCATTAACCACGCAATCCCCTTGGAATTTCTCAACCGTACGCAATCTCCTCCATCGAGGCATTCCACAAGCAACTGGCGGAGATCAAGGTGCGGTTGTACCATAGGTTTGTCGAGCTACCATTTTATTTCTTTGAAATAGAGCTTTCTATAGCTCCCTTTAGATTTGTTTCAAGATACAAGAAATTAAACCTAGTCTTCTAACAATAATGTTGTGCCTTTTTGTCTCTTCCCGGACTGTACCACATGCTGGCTTGTTCCAGTTCTAGAGACGAAATAGTTGATTTCTTCTTCTTGGGTAGAGTCACTTCCATTCTGACATCTACTCTTTTTTTTTTTTTAAAAAAAAAAGAAATCATTCAAAAGTGAATGATTTGAAGCTCTCTTTTCTTTATGCTTTTGATTTTTGGAAGAAGTTACAATTAATTGTCCGATCCCTTCACATCTATTTTTTTAGAATTTTTATCAAAATACTATCAACAATACAAAAAAATTGTGAAAATGTACATGATGAAAAATATTTACCAATATGCTCCATTTTTGAGAAAGTCCTTATGGCTCTGAACAAGTTTCACAAATCGGTCTACCTCTAAACAATCTCAAGGTCTTTTTTAATCTTCAGCAAAAATTACAATTAAATGCCCCATTTCATCAACTTTTGCCACGTCTCTATGCTTTTAAATTTTAGATATAATTATAACTAATTACCCCTTTGTTTCATATCTTTTTTTTATATATACACAAGTAGAAGAGCCTAGGTCTCAAACAACTCTAACCAATATCCCTAGTGTAGTTTTGCTCAACTTTCACATGATGAAATCCATGTGCCATGTTTAGAGCATGTTTTGCAAGCCAATCAGCTACAGCATTGGCATTCCTTGGAGTGTAGTTTAACTCCACTTCTCAGTCTCTATGTAACATGCATCTCACCTTTAAGATTAAGCCAAACTGGGAGTGATTCTCTATTCATCGAAGTAGACTCAATAATAAGTTTTTGCATCCCGACATTCCAGGCCATTTTTAAACCAAGCATGACTGCCTGTAACTCAACATCTAATCTATCCCCTTTAAACAAGTGGTGCATATACCCTTTCAAGAAAGATCTATCATGCATCTTTCTTGATAATCCCGTCGCTGCCAACTCCGCTTATTCTGCATAATTTGACTATTCAAGTTTACACCTAGCTCATGGTGGCTCCCAATGAGCATTTTGGTTTTGCACAATTTGACCATTCAACTTTACACCCACCAGGATTTACCTCGCTTGATTGATAGTTGTGAGAATAGAGAGTTTTGAGACTCATGCTTTCCATGCTCATCAACATGCCCTCGAAAATATGCTCATTTCTTTGCTACCAAAGAAGCCAATAGCTAGTTAGGAATGTTTCCTTCCACCCCTCTCATCCCTTGGCAAATTGACTTTGCAAGTTAGCGTGTAGCCAGTCCCTCAAGTTAAGGCTACAGAGCCTTCAAGCCTCATAAGAGGCTATCATCTTGAGCCATAACCTGCGAGTTTCAGCATAGTCTCTAAGGATGTTAAGCACGCCCTCAATGGTGCTATTGCACTCAATACAATGACTCTCATTAGTCATCCATCTCTTGCATTTTTTTTCATTTGTGAGTAACCGATTTGGCATAGCTAACCGTATAAACATTTTGCAGTAGTGAGTAGTATTGAGTCGCTGGGTTATTTGCCATATATGTTCGACTTTCTTGGTTATTTGTGATCATATTGTAGGTAGATTTGATGGTGAAACTTCCATTTTGATCATGCCACCATTTGACTTTCTAATTATTTGAGTCCATTACACATCAATCCGTAACATACTTCCAAGTGGACTTGATTCCGGACCACACGTTTAATCCTAGCCTATTCTGCTCTATAGCCGGTAATAAATCATCTCCACACTTGTACTTGCTACGAGCACCTTAACCTATAACTCATCTCATGGTTTAATAAGCCCCCACCCTAGCTTTGCCACATAAGCTAGATTCTGGCTTCTTATAGTAAGCTCAACCCACCATTATTCTTGTTTTCAGTATACCCTTTCCCAAGAAATAAACCTGGTTTCTCTTGCTCCGCAATAGGGCGCCAAATGAAGTCACGATTGGTATGGTCACAGTTTGCGTAGTGTGCCCTAGAATGGCTGAAGTGATTGATGAAACTAGAATAGATTGTCCTACCAAAGAAATTATAGGCTATTTTCTTTTCAGTTGGTTAGTCATTTCCGCACCTTGTATACTACATCTTGAAAGCAGTCCTTAGTGACCCACTTATGATGGAGAAGAACTCCCAGATATTTTCCCAAGTCAGTTGCATCTTGAAATCTCAAAGCATTATTCGGCTTCATTCTATGGTTATGGTTCATATTTTTTGAGAAGAAAATCGCGTTTTACTACTGTTCATCTTGAGACCCAAGCTCTCACAGAATGTGCTGAGGCAATCTTCAATTTTAACCACTTGATGCATAGAAGCTTCTGCACATAAAATCATGCCATCAATGAAAAGTAAACGAGATATAGGAGGGCCATTTTTACGTAATCGAATTGGGTGTCAACTTTTGCTCTCTATTTGTTCTTGCATCGAGTCTGCTAATTTCTCCATGCAGATAATGAACAAGTAGTGAGAAAGGATCTCCCTATCTAATCCATCTAGATGAGACAAAACTATATGCTTTTTCTCCATTCCACAACAGTTTCATGCTTGGTATGGGGACATATTTGGATATGATTTGCACCAAATAGTTACCTATTTGTAGCTCCACTTGACACTTTTTGAGAAAGTTCTAATTGACAGTCTTTTTGATTGCCACGAATCCCTTCCTACCATTCATTGTTCTCACGCTATGAATGAGTTGTTGGATCAGAATAATATTGTCAACACTCTGTCATCCCTAGATAAAGCTATATTAGTTGACGATGATCGCTTTTGGCATTATTGCTTTAAAATGATTGGCAATTATCTTAGTGATCACCTAGAAATTAACATTGCATACGCTTTAGGACGCAAGTCTTTCAACTCCTCCGGATGGTCTTTTTTCAGAATTCAGACTAGCAGGTATGGTTAATAGATTTTATTTCTTCTAAATCCCCCTCTAATATCTAATAAGATCACGCATAGATCGCTCCACAGTCTTCCACTGGCTTTGGTAAAACAAAGCATTACGACTGTCTGGTCAAGAGAGCTGCCTTAATTTCTGCATTTGTTACTTCACACCCCATGAATTGCATTTCATTTATATCAACTTGTAGGTAAGTGATAGTACAAGAGATGGATCTCTGAATAGTTAAAAGTAGAGTAGCAAGAAAGTTCGTCACCTTTTCCTTTTATATTTTCATTTTCAAATAACCATTACCCGTCCTCCATGCAAATAATTCCCAGAAAGTTTTTCTTCTTTCTCCTGCTAGCTCTAATATGGAAAATATTGGTGTTTTTGTCACTATTGATTACCTTGCACTCCAGGCCTTTTGAGCCTATATATATGAGTGACTCTTGCACCAAGATTTCCTTAAGTTCACTCCATAGATACCCTTGAAGTCTTCAAAGCTCATCTATCAGGCCATACTTCATTTCTGTTCTAGCAATATTGTTATAAGTCTGTTTATTAGCTTCCTTTTCATTGTATTATTATGATCAAAGACTTTGGTGTTCTAGTTTCGGCATGCCGCAGGGAAAGCTGTAAAATTCTCATTCCATGCATGGGATGATGACCTTCATTCCTGCTTCACAAAGCTTTCAAACTCATTATGCAGCACCCAAGCTACAAGGAATCTAAATGGCTTACTCTCCCGTCTTGATGTTGTCGTACCTTCTATTTTCGACAAAATGGGCCTATGGTTCGACTTGTACCAAGGAAAATGTGCTAGTGTTTAAAAAGGTCTCCATCCAGATATTCAAATTAAGCATTTCATCAAGTTTGCTTTTAACGTTAGTTCTCTGCAATGTAAATCGTGGACCATGGTACTTCAAGTCATTCAAGCCCAAGTCCCCTATAAACCTTTGGATTTCTTTCTCTGGGCCCCTATTCTCAACATTAGATCTACGTGCAGGGTACACTGAGGTGGTGTTGAAGTCACCACCCGGACACTTAGGTCTCTGGAACCATCCTTTCAATACTTCAATGTCTGTTCCAAGTGTCCCGTCTGCAGGCACGCATAGGACTAGCATATACTACAAATATCTCTAAGATTAGAGGTGGTGATTTTCGATGTAGAGGTGGATATATTGTTGTTTCCAAGACCTCCACTCGATGAATCTTATCTAACCAAAGACACCATATCTCCCTTTAAAGCCTTGAACTACAACCATCTCTTTATACGAAAAGCCCAGTGAATTAGCAATGTTCTCAACTTTTCTGCCACTACACCTTGCTCACATCGAGCAACAAAATCAAGAGAGTGAAAATTTGTCAACTCACACGCCCAAAGAAAATGAAATTTATGGTTCAGCCATGTAAGTCAAGAGATAGAAAGCCTCTGATCAGCCACAATATCTTCACTCACATCCATTGTCAAGATCTCCTCATTGAGCATTTTGATATGTATTATTCAATCCATCTATTCCCATAGTGGAGCCCAAAGCTATTTGAATGCTCTGCTCCATTCTAACTCCATTAATCCATTCGCGAGCCCAAGCCCTCCAGTTATCTTCATGTTGCATTCTAATGGAGCTCTCTGTGGGCTATTGCTCTAGTGGCCCATATTGCAAGACAGATATTGGGATAATTGAATGAGTTTCCTTGCCAGTGCCTACTTCTTTTGGTTCTTGGACACGTGCTTGCACTTTAATATTCTCTTTTCCACGTGCTTTTACTCTTGCCCTAGCTTTTTTGTTTCTTTTAAATGTTAGAACTTCTAATCTTGTTTATTGCTCATGCTAACTGTGAAAGTCTTGGAATTATCCCCACGTGATACTTTTACCACCATTCGTTTGTTAATAACCTAAGCGTTCTTTTTCTCCAAGTGAGCCGAGCCAATTATCTGCTGCTGGTCTCCATGAATCTTCCCAATCGTATTAAGGTCGTGATTCTGCAAGATTTCTTTCCTCTTCTCCATTGGTATCCTCTTCTAGCAATCGCATTTAACTAGCATTTGAGGCTTATAGATAATTCCTTTGATTCTGCTGGTTTCCCTAATCTCTAACGTACCATTGTGATGTCCTAGTGCCTTGCCTGAGTCCATCGTCGCTCGTGAGCTATGCTTATGACCCTTAGGATCGGCCATTGGTTGCTTGATTATTCAATTCAGACATTAAGCCATATGGTGCCGATACTTGCCACAATGAAAGCACAGATATTCCAATGGTGAAGGTTGAGCTCTACGCAGATACGAGAAAAACTACCTTTGACAAAGCTATGGTGCAATCAATCTTGAGAGTTTTCCAAACAACATTCCTAATCCTTCTAAGAGATTCACCAGTATAGAGTTCAGTTATTAGCTTCCTAGGCATTGAAATTTGGTCCCCATCACTGCACCAACAAATAGTGATCTGCAATTGTCCATGGACCCTCTTGCAGAGCGCATCCTCAATAGTGAGGAAAGAGACTATATAGTACCCATTATTCAATAGTGTCACCTTGATATGTCGATACAGACTCCACATCCTTGCCAATATTTATCTTGTGAAACCAACAGAGAAGGACTTCCATAAGAGCTTGATGATCAATTAATTCATATATGGCTTGCACCAAGCCACATACTCGTCCTCCGAGACCTTCGATTTATGACACCTCCCAGTTTTCATCCACACGTCTACATCCTCTTCCTCCGACTCGTATTTTCCTCTTCACCTTTCGTGTTATCAACTCTCTTTTTGCTCATCTTTGTAAAGTAATGCTTCCAAGCATTGAGAGCATCATTGGCTAGCGTATTTAGTTCGAGAAGCCCTAAGTCCCACAGGCTAAGAAACTTTTCTTTAAACGAGAATTGGAAACCTCCATTTGTATGCTCAATATTCCTCGGACCCCAGTTGATCTGTTTCTTGATGTTTGTTCGTTGAATGGAAAGCCTTCGCTTTGATTCTCACCGTCCAGATCACTTTCGCCCTTGCCCTCTGTTCCTCACTATCTGAATAGTTAAATTTTGAAAAAATATATAATATAATATAAATTAAATAAAATAACTATAAAATATTTTTATATATAATCTAGGGAGAATCCTCATTTAATCAAGCTGAAACATCTAAATTCAAATTCAGGCCTATACTTTTAACAAATTTTTAATTAGGATGTGATGCTTAATTAGAATTTCTAAATGTTCTTAAATGACCAGTATATCCCTCCATAATTAAAAAATTGATTTACCCCTCCCAAATAATCTCTCCTCTCTAATGATTAATTTTTGGGACAAAAAAATCATATAAGTAATTTTACCCTGTTTAAAATATATAACAAACTTCAAAAATATTTTATTAAAAAAATTTAAATTGCCATATAAATATTCTTGACATAAATATTTTTTATTTTCAGGTTTCAAACATTTATTTTAATATTTTATAATATTTTAATTACAATAAATATTTAATATTGAGTTCCTATGATTTACGTTTTTGGACTGAATTTTCCAAACTTGCTTAAGAAATAAAATGTAGCTATTTTAATTATTTAATTAAAAATATTTTAACGTAATTTATTTTTGTGTTTTTAATTTAAAATATTTTATTGAAATATTTTTGAAGGTTATATATATAATTTTTGAACACTGTAAAATTACTTATTCTTTTTGTTTCAAAAAATAATCATAAGTGATAAAGAAACTTTGGGGAGTTGGGAAAGGTAAAATAATTAAGGCAAAATTAAACATTTGGTTCTTTAATTTTATCCAAAGTTTCAGTTTGGTTCTTTATCTTTAAAAAATACATGATATTTTTTGGTAATAAATATGGTTTTTTTTAAAATTAAACATGATATGTTAGTATATGAAAATATTTTATCAATATTCAAGAACTTAGTACCATCATTTTTTGTTAATAGTTTTAGAGTTGAAAAGCTAAAAATATACTTTTCAAAGTTAAATGACCAAATTAAAACGTTGTACAAAGTTATTAAAAGACTAAAAGTATAATTTCACTAATAATTTTTCTTTTTAATTAAAGAGGGACATTCTAGTCATTTAACAATATTTATAAATTCCTAATAAGTCCTTATGGCCTGCTTAGAAATTTGTTAAATGTTTAAATTTGATTATAAAATTTGCTCCTATTTAACTATAAAATATGCACTTATTACTTCCTACTATCTTTGTCATAATCACTCAACAATATTAACTCAAAGGTATTATTAAAGAATAAATAAAAATATAAATTTTATGAAATAGCTTATAAATAAAATAAAATATAAAAACAATTTAAGTGCACAAAACTAAAAATAAATGAACTGAAGCAAGTACTGAATTTTTCTTACATCATGCGTGACATAGAAGCGCTAAATTCTCAATATATAAAAATTAAGTGATATTTCTTAATTTTGGTTTCTTAATCATTATTTTAGCAACATAAAAATAATAGTGACTTATTCTTTTTCCTGATTTTTTTAAAAATTATTATTATTGTTTTTGCTACAAATGATATCAAAGTGTCATGTTACAACAATTCCAGGAAAAGAGAGACAAAAAATGAAATAGATAAGAATGGGAATTGGAGAAAAACGAAAAATGATGTTTTTGGGATGACATAGATATGAGGTGATAAGTTTTTCATTTTTTTATTTATAAGTTATTTTATAAAATCTAAGAAATGATTAAGTTTTCTTTCTTAACTATATCCTTGATTTTAATATTCAGTAGAATATGGTTGGATATATCAGTGCATACGAGCAATCATTGTAAATTGACAATGAAGATTGGCCCTTGTGGGAGTTGAAAATAAAGAGTACCGTAACAAAGTGCTAAAAATATTAGTATCTCTAGGGAAGTAGCATTGTGTGAAAGAAAGATCCTAAACCCTGGCCTAGAAAAAAAGAACAAAGAAAGAAGGATCCTAAACTTGAACCTACTTAATTGGACGCCATAATTAGCCCGAGGTGGTATCCGAAGAGGAATCAGGACTCAATTTATTATGTAAAATTTCAAGGCCATGGAATATGTGCAGCGACCCAAAGAAACAAGATGCTAAATAATTTAGCATTTCATCTTCACATAAAGCTAACCTCAAGATTCAATTGTCATTGAGAGTGGGACAAAGTTTTGCATCAAATAAAGTTAGGACGAAAAAATTGTGCAAGTTAAAAGGAATACCAATCAACGTTACACCTTAAGGTGTCAGGGTAAATAAATGGTATTGATCTCACTTATACGCATATTAAGAACTGTAAATCCTAGGTGGTTCTCCCCAAAATATAATGCCTCCGATCCGAAGCTCAGTAGTTGAAAGGTGAAGCAATTCCTATTGTGGGGCATCCTTGGGATACCAATCTTGAAGTAAAACCATTTCTCTTCCATTGGGAATCATTTTTAAGTAGTTTTACAATCGTAATAAATATGAAGTAAGTATGTGAGGAGAGTTTTATTTCAACTAACATGAAACGTGCTTATAAGTGCTTATATAGGCAGATCCAAACAGGCTATTAAGTGACAAGTAGTTTTAAGAAATATCTGGGGTAATACTAAAAACTAAAAACAAATAAATAACAATAAGAGATGTAAAGAGAAATATCATGAGGAGATGTTTTTAACGATTAGTCTTTTGACGAAAAAATCTTGCTTAGTTACAAAAGTCAAAACATTCCGCTAGACTTTTCACTTTTCCCCTATGCATTCTTTCTTCAAAGTTCCATTACCATTTAATTTTTCTTTCCTCTTTTAGAATAGTATGCTCTTCAATTCCTTTTCGGCCAGTGAACTAGAATACAAGATATTTTCCTTTGGGTAGTTAAAATGCCTATTGAATGGATTTCTTTGTCTTGGGGTTCATCTACTTATTAGCTACATAGCCTTGGTATTACAAATATTTCTTTCAACATTCGCTCAATCCTTCTCATCCGTGCTTTGTTTATTCAAGCATTAAATTTTCTTGTCATGTTCAGGAAGTAAGAATGGACATTCTCATTTCTGTTGTTGGAAAAATAGTAGAGCTTACTGTGGAACCCATTGGAAGGCAAGTCGGATATTTATTATGCTATAGAAACAATTTGAAGGAGCTAAAGGATCAAGTCGACGAGATGGAGGCAACAAAAAAACGTATCGATCGTGAAGTTGAAGATGAAAAAAGAAATGGAAAAGAGATTCAAGCTGACGTCCTAAAATGGCAAGAAGGTGTTATTGAGACCTTGGAAGAAGTAGAGAAACTTTGTGAAGATGAACCTCATGCTACTATACGGTGTTGGAAATGGTCTTTTCCTAACTTTAAGTCGCAACATCAAATTGGGAGAAGAGCAAAGGAAATGCTAAGCACCATTGTTGAAATGAAGGGAAAGGGGAATTTTGATAAAGGAGTTGGATATGTTCCGCATTTGAATATAATAAACAACTTTTCTTCTCCTATAGGAAGTGGTATGCTTGAGTCAAGAAATTCAGTCAAGAAAGAGGTTGTGTTGTCTCTAAAGGACCCCAAGGTAAGCAAAATTGGGGTTTATGGGATAGATGGAGTGGGAAAGACCACTCTAGTTAAAGAAGTTGCCAAACAAGTTGAGGATGACAAGTTGTTTGATGTAGTGGTTGTGGTAACTATATCCCAAACAAATCTTGAAACAATTCAAGAAGAGATAGCAGAACAGTTAGGGCTCCAGACTTTGAAAAAGATGACCTCATCAATTGGAAGAGCCAACCTCTTATGTGAGAGGATTAAAAAAGAGAAAACTATTCTCATCATACTAGAAGATTTACGGGAGAAAATTGATGTGGAGAATTTAGGAATCCCTTCTTTTGATGTATGGGGAAAAATTAATTCAGAAAAGGTGGGAGTTCCTCAAAAAGATGATTACAAGGGTTGCAAATTATTATTGACTTCAACAAGCCAAGATATTTTACAACAGAATGAAACTCAAAAAAACTTTTGCCTTCAACTTTTGAATGGTGAAGAATCTTGGAGCTTGTTTGAAACCATGGTTGGTGATGTTGTTAAAGATACGAATTTTCAAATTGTAGCAACCCAAGTGGTTGAAAGGTGTGGAGGCTTGCCCGTTTTGATCGTCACAAATGCAAAGGCACTAAAATACAATAAGGACATTCATTTTTGGAAAGATACCTTGAACAATCTAAAAAGGGATAATTCCATGCTTTCATCTCTGGAATTCAATTTGAATCGGTTAGAAGATGAAGCAAAAAAAGTATTCTTGCTTTGTGGTGTGCATGGAACATCCATACTCTTTAATGACTTGTTGAAATATGCTATTGGTTTGGGTATATTCAAATGTATAAATACCATTGAGGATGCAAGGATTAGGCTTTATAGAATAATTGGTGAGCTGAAGGCATCTTGCTTGTTGGTTGATGATGATGCAAGAGCGGGAATGATCGAAATGCATAACAGTTTTCGTGGAGTAGCCAACTCAATCGCCTCAACGTATGTTTTCAGTAAAAGTAATGCTAAGTTACAGGATTGGCCAAAAAAAGGTATTCTTGAAAGTTGTACCCAGATTATCTTGCAACGTTGTTGCATCCAAAAGCTACCTGAAAGATTAGATTGTCCTCGCCTCACATTTCTCCTGATAAACAGCAGGGATAATCGTACTTTAGAAATTCCAGATTCCTTTTTTGAGGGGATGCGAAAACTTGAAGCATTAGATTTGACAGGAATCATCATGTCTTCGTTACCTATATCTCTCTTATCCTTGACCAAACTCAAAACATTGTGTTTGGATAGTTGTTCACTAAAGGATATGACTGGAATAGGTGCATTGAAAAAATTAGAAATTCTTAGCTTAGTCCATTCATCTATAGAAGAGTTCCCAAGTGAAATAAAGCGGTTGACTAAGCTTAGAATGTTAGATTTGAGCAAATCTGGAATTGGGGCTACCCTACCCAACATTTTGTGCAAATTGGCCAAAATAGAGGAACTATATATTGGCAATGCCACAGTTAATTGGGAGGTGGAAAGTTCAAGTAAGCAAAAGAGAAATGCCAGTCTCACTAAGCTCAGCAATTTAACTGGCTTGACTGCTCTGGAAATTCAAGTCCGTGAGGCTTGGCTTTTGCCCAAGGACATACCATTCGACAACCTAGAAAGATATAAGGTTATTATTGGGGACATATGGGAATGGTCAAGCAATAGAAACATCTCGAGGTTGCTAAAGGTGAAGTTGGATACTAGTATTCATTGGGAGCGTGGGATCAAAACATTGATTAAAAAAGTGGACGATTTATACTTGGATAGAGTAAGCGGCATTTCAAATGTGCTTTTCGAATTGAATGGTGAAGGATTTCCATTGCTAAAGCATTTTCACATCCAAAATAATGATGAAATTCAGCATATTATCGACTCAGTGGGAAGGAACCGTACTCATATTTTGTTCCCAAAGTTGGAGACATTGGTACTTCACAATCTTAGTAATTTGGTAAAGATATGTAATGGTCCAATCAGGGATAATTTTTTTGCAGAACTCAAGGTTGTCAAAGTTAAAAGTTGCCACCAATTGATATATCTCTTCTCTATTTCAATGGTTAAAGCTTTTTCTCAACTTGTTGAGATTGAAGTTTCTGAGTGCAGTACTATGAAGAACATTGTGTTAGTAGAAAGTGAAGATGGCGGCAAAACTATTGATGACAAGATTGACTTTCTTCCGTTGCGCTCATTGACTTTACAACATTTGCCAGCCATTGATGATTTTTTCTCCTTGAGAACTGAGCAAAACTCGTTGAGTGCTGATACTCCAACACCATTTTTTAGCGCCAAGGTATATTCTTTAATATTTTGTATATAATATCCAATGATTTATTTACAAAATGAGATTTTACTTTAATTTTTTATCAAATAAGAATTTTATTAGCATCCTCTTATAAATAAATGATGTCAACTTTTTTGGATATCCATTCATGGTCAATCAAAATTCACTACATTAACATTAGATTTTAGAACATGGTTGATTCATACTATTTTATTGTGTATTTCTTATTATCACGGTAAAACTCAAACCATTTTCACAGGTTAAACTTTCTAAATTGGAGACTTTGAAGTTGAGTACTTTGCATTTGAAAAAGATTTGGGATGACAATCAGTCTTCTGCGCCCTATTTGTTCCAAAATTTGGCCAACTTGACTGTAGAGGATTGTAGTGGCTTAAAGTGTTTATTCTCATCTTCCATGGTTGGAAGACTTTCAAATCTCAAGCAACTTGAAATAAGTAAATGTGATATGATGGAGGAGATAATCGCCACAGAGGAGATAAATGGCGTTCCACTAGAAGAGGTAAATTCAATTTAAATCACAAATATTTTATTGATTAGTTGCAGTCATTTTTTTCAGTAGTAGTTTGATTTTGTATATGAGGTTGAAATTCAATATCAACAACCTCTCTCCTTCTCTCTGTATATCAGAGTATCATACACTTAACTAATTTACATTTTATTGTTTTATTCACTCTTAACCTTGCAATTGGATATCACAGGTGCTTTTTCCCAAACTTGAAGCAATAATAATAAAAGACATGCAGAACTTAAAGATGATATGGCATCCTGTCTTGGCTTCAAATTCCTTGACCTGCTTTAAAAAGTTAGAAGTCAAAAATTGTGAAAAAATTGAGAAAATATTTCCAGAATATATGAATAGAGCATTTGCAATTCTGGAGACATTGAAGGTTGAAGGCTGTATGTCAGTGAAAGAGATATTCCAATTGGGTGTCAATGCAGATGATACAACACAGCTCAAGTATATCACACTACTTCGATTGCCAGAGTTGAAGCAAATTTGGAGCAGAGGTTCTCAATCAAGTACTCTTTGCTTTAAGAACTTGCAAGTTGTGCGTGTTGAAGACTGTGGTGATTTGGAGTACCTTTTCCCATTCTCCATAGCCATGACAAACCTACCTCTACTTGAACAAATTATAATAAAGCGAGCTAAAATGATAAAGGAGATCGTTTCCAATAAAGAAGAACCCTTAGACGATCCTGTAAAATTTGTGTTCAATCAACTTACCTCAGTGGTACTTTGGTGTTTACCAAATTTGCAGGGATTTTGTGCTGGAAATCATAGTTTATCTTGTGCATCATTGAAAAAATTGAGTGTCTACGATTGTGGAAAATTGAAGTTGTTCAAGACACAAGTCACAAGTAGCCAAGAAAGACTTTGTCATGACAATCTCCTGGTCTCAATGAAACAGCCTCTCCTCACACTTGAAGAGGTATAACTCATCCCTTTTTTTTTAAAAAAAAAAAAAGATATAGTTAATCATATTTTTTCTATGTGTTGGTTTTTAAAAATGTGTCTAGGAATTCCTGTACTCTAGGCAAAGTCACTTAAAAACACTTAGGTCTATATAACTTACTAATATTTATATTACTTTTCTAGTTCCTTTATTTCAAAATCACTTATCAAGGTCTTGTAATTAAGTAGTTATCACATTTTAATTTCATATTGACAATATTGTTAATCCATATAATGTAATTCATCTTAAATATGATATAAATACTTTTAATTTTGAAGAACTTGTTTCAGCAGTAGCAATTATTGCAGGTATTGTGAATACAATCTCTTATAATGCATGTATTTAAAAAAGAATATAATTTTCATATAGTTTTTCTGACCAAATAATGTTCACATAGCTTAACACTTATACGGGCTTATTAGTTTCTATTGTTAAAGCTTCTCTCATTACCCTCAATTTAGAAAACATATGGAAACCATCCACTATCTTAATTTTTTTGATAGACTATTATTCATTTATTTTTCACTTTATACTTGTTACCATTTACATTGACCCCGATCTAACACAATTTTTATTGGGGCCTACCAGCAAAAATATCAATAATACCTTTACTTATTGTGGGTTTTCCATTCTTATCATACACGTATATAGTAGAGGCCTTGGACAGAGTAGAACCCTAGTCAGCTGCCTATTTAACCTTACACTCCCTACAGTCTTGTTTCTTGTTTTTTTTATTAATAACTCCAACATGCTTTATAATATTTATTTTCTCTCCAAATATTTAACTTCATGTCTAAAGGTCTCTTCAAATCTAAATATTAGCATGCTGATAATTGGTCACCTACAAGTTACTTAATTATATTCTTGAGTATGTTGTTATTATTATATGACACTTTCTCTTCTATGACATTGTTGGGGACCAGAGGCTTAATGATCAACATTTTTTGTCCTTGTTTATGGCATAGGTGATTGACAACTTAGAGATGTTAGTTCTAAACAATGAGGATGCTAGCATGATATTACGATCGGAAGTTCCAAGGGACCAATTCTGCAAACTCAAAGTTCTAGTGTTGTACAAATTAGAAGATGCTCAAGGTACTTCTCCGTATTGGTTTCTCCAAAATATATCCAGCCTTGAGTGGCTAGCCATTCAAGAGAATTCTTTCAAGGTGATATTCCCGAACGAAAAGCTTCAAGATGAGAGTGGAGACAGTGAGATCAAAACAAGGCTGAAGAAGTTGACATTATATAAATTGAATGAACTCCAGCATATTTGTAGAGAAGGATTCCAACTAGACCCGGTTCTTGATGTTCTAGAACGCCTATATGTGGATCTATGTTCTAATTTGAAGAGCTTGGTGCCTTCTTCAGTAACCTTTAATCAACTGTCAATTTTAGCTGTGCATAATTGTAATGGATTGATTTATTTGATTACCTCCTCGACAGCAAGAAGTCTGGTAAAGTTAACAGAACTGATAGTAAGAGAGTGTGATTCAATTGAGCAAATTGTGGTAGAAGAAGGAAGGGAAAGCACAAATGAAATTACATTCAACTGTCTAAAAGTTTTGAGACTTGAATCTTTGCCAAAACTCAAAATATTTTGCTCTAGTAGTAACTGTGGCTTGAAGCTTCCAGTACTGGAGAAACTTGTAATAAGGCAATGTGCAAGAATGGAGAGCTTCTCTGTGACGGACACAAGTGCACCATTGCTTCGAGAGATACTGACATACCAACAAGATGTAAAATGGTTTTGTGAAGGTGACATAAATAGTACATTGAACAAGATGTTCCATGACAAGGTATGATTTTATTTTAAGCAGTTATGGATCTCATCACATATGAAGGAAAGGAATACTATTTCTATATAATCTTAATTAATTGTCAGCTTCTATTGCTTAATGTGTTCTTGAATGTTTGGGTATGTGGTATGTTTTAATCTAACAAAAACAACCTTTATAAACATGGAGAAAAAGATAATCATTTTTTACATTCTATTAACCCTATGTACCATTGCAGGTAGCATTCCGTAGTTTCGAACATCTGGAGCTATCTCAATATCCTGAGTTAGCAGACGTCTGGTATAGCCATGTTAAGCATGAAATGTTTGGTAATTTGAAAATTTTAAAAGTACACAAATGTGACTTTCTATCGAAAGTCCTTTTGCCTTTAAATTTGTTGAAAGTATTGTCCAACTTGGATAAGCTTGAAGTAAGTGAGTGTGATTCACTGGAAGCTCTGATTGAATTACCCAATATGAATGAAGGAGAAATGGAAAACATGAGCATTCATTTGAAAGTAATAAATCTCTCTGGTCTACCTGAGCTCAAACATATTTGGAGTTTTGAAAAATTGGGGGAGATTTCTTCTGATAACAGTCAAGGCTTTAGGGGAACAACAAATGAGGGTGATATCCATCATCAACGACCAATGTATTCCGCTGGACAGGTATGAAACCTTGCTTTTTTGTTCATATTACCTAATAAATACATGAGAATAGTATTATCTGTACCAAGTAATTTGCACAAATAATGAAAAATATATATACATGCAAATTTTGGGAAATAAAAATAAGCTATCTATATTTATACTCAATCGTTAATAATGTGACTAGTGAAGATTTTTAATAAGTGATATAGATTTATAATTTATAACTAATAGTTTTATGTTGGTGTGCTGTCTTCATTTCATAGCCTTACTCTTCTTAATTAACCTCATTCCTTGTCCTTCACAACATGATTTATGAACTCTTTTCATAGCCTTATGTTTTTTTGTTTTATGTGCCATACGAAGTCCTTTATAATGCCATTTTTTTTCCGGCTAAATGAATTTGTGAGACTCTAACAAAACCACCTATAGGTGGCAATCCAAAACCCATACATCTTAACCTAGGTACTCACACATATCCACATACATTCCACTGATGTGGGTCCCTTATAATTCAACTCAAACTATTTGTTATAAGAATTTAACACGAGTTTGCAATGACTTAATTTTGATGCCAAATTAAAAAGAAATAAATTTATTTACAATTTAATAATTTAATCTTGCAAGCCAAAAAATTATGCACTTGATTTTCTTTCTTGTAATAATCTTAACCAAATTTGATGAAAAAATATTTTTATTCTTATATTACAAATGTAGCATTGGGTCTTGGAAAATAGTCGCATGTTGGAAAAGTATGCTCTATTTTGAAAAACCCATTGCTAATGAGATGTATCCTCTTTATTTGACTTGTCTTCATGACACAGTGTTCATATACGTGGGAGTACTTGTAAATATGTTATCTAATTTTTTCCTTTGGGCATACATGTATATGGCAGGTTCTTTTTTCCAATTTGGAAACAATAATAATAAAGGACATGCCGAAATTGAAGACAATTTGGCACCCCTTCTTTACTTCAAATTCCATTAGCAGCCTTAAGACCATGCATGTCTCAAAATGTGAGAAACTTGATAAGATATTTCCATCATATATGGAAAGAGCATTTAGAAGTCTAGAGACATTGATAGTTATTGACTGTAACTCAGTAGAAGTCTTATTCGAAATCAGCTGTGAGACCGGCAGTGCAGAAGATACAGCAGGACTACAGAAATTAACTCTACTTCGATTGTCAAAGTTGAAACAAATTTGGAGCACAGATCCTAAAGAAAACCTTCCTTTTCACAAATTGTTGCATGTGTGTGTTGAAAACTGCAATAACTTGGAATACCTTTTTCCATTATCCATTGCAATGCACGCGGTTCACATTGAAGATATTACCATAAAGAATGCAGGGAGGATGAAACAAATAGTTTCAGAGGAAGAAGGAATCTTGAGCAATCCAGTCAGGTTTAAGTTTGATCGCTTGACCTCATTGGTACTTTGGAACTTAAATGAAATGGAGGGATTTTTTGCTAGATATCATAGTTTACTTTGTCCATTATTGAGGGAATTAGATATTCGGAATTCTGGAAAAGTAAAGCTCTTCAAGACACAGCATTGGAGCAGCCAAGGAAGAGTCTCAATGCAGCAGTCGCTTTCCATATCTGAAGAGGTATGTATGCATGTATGTATATAATTATAGAAAGAATATCCTTGTTATGATAACTTGTACCATATATGGAAATGCATTCTTTTATAATAATTTTCCATGTGAATAAAGTTTTAATTAAGTTTGCTCATGCATGTTATCCATCACTTGCTTCTCACTTAACAATGCATATAGAATTGATCACCAATCATTCAATTCACTAATTTAACAATGTGTTGAGTGCTTTTGACTAAAGATATATGCTTTCATTGAAGGAATTTAGAGAGAGAGAGAGAGTGCTAAGCTGGATGATACGTGTATTGATATGATAAGAGGGTACAATATATAGAGCCATTAGAGAATGACAGCTGTATACAACTCACTGACTAAGCATAACTTAATTAGTTACATAATCTATTACTTAACTATCTCTAATATCCCCCCCCCAATTCAATTTACCCCTTGCAACAAGATTATACTTGAAATTATCAAACAATGAACTAGAAATAGGTTTACTAAAACCATCTGCAATCTAACTCGAGGAAGGTATTTGAAGAACTATAATTTCTTTGTTAATTGCTCTTTCATGCACATAGTGAAGATCCAACTCCATCTGGCATATAGCATAGGATTTGCAATTATAAGAATAGCTCCCTAATTTTCGCGAAGAACACATGGAGTATTAAAGAGTTTAACATAAAACTCACTAAGTAAGGACTAAATACACAAAAATTCAGCAACATTAGTAGCCATGCTCCTATATTCTGCCTCTGTAGTAGAATGAGCCTAATTCAATTGTTAATTAGAAGACCAAGAAACCAGATTTAGTCCAAAGTAGGCATAAAGCCCTGAATTACTTCTTCTATTATCACAATCGGATGCCCAACTTGTACCATAGTCGGCTATTAATGAATGACTTTTAGAGGCTTGAGACAGAGACCATGTAAGGAAGTTCCTCACAAGTACCTCAATATGCATTTATCAACCTTTCAATATTCCTGTAGTAAAGCTTTGTTTTTGCTAATTATATTGCATATGCGATTTGTAAATTGGAGGAGTTAGCCCTAAACAGTGAGCACGCAGATATAATATTGCAAAGATTCATTAAACTCAAATTTAATTGTTTGACAAGATTTAAAGATGACCATGCAATTTTCTCATATTGGTTTCTTACTTCACATAATAAAATTTATCTTCAATATTTGAGGAAAAAATTGTACATTTTATAATAAACACATTTGAATCTTTTTCTCACTTATAAAGAGCTAGAAAATTAAGCTAATTGTTTTGTGTTTAGTTTGCTTTAATGGCCTTTCTTTTTGAAGAACATGCTTCAATTGCCTTTATTCTTAACTAATCTAGCATGTCAATTTTTGCAGGTGGCATTCCATAGTTTGGAGCATTTGGAGCTACCTCAATATCTTGAGTCAGGAGATGTTTGGTACAGCAATGTTAAGCTTGAAATGTTTGGTAATTTGAAAATTTTAGTAGTTCACAAATGTGACTTTTTATCAAAAGTCCTTTTTCCTGTAAATTTGCTGCAAGTGTTGTCTAACTTGGAAAAGCTTGAAGTGAGTGAGTGTGGTTCATTGGAAGCAATATTCGATGTAAAAGCATTGGATAAGAAAGCAATGGAATCAAAGGAAGTTAGTCGATTGAAAAATTTAACACTCTTGGGGCTTCCAAGTTTAAAGCACATATGGAATAGAGAAGCAGGAGACATAATCAACTTTGAGAATTTACAGATTGTGAAAGTTGAAAAATGCCAACACCTAAAAAGCTTGTTTTCAGTCTCGCTATGCCAAGACTTGAGGCAGCTTGAAGTACTTCACATTGACTCCTGTGGTGTTGAGGAAATTGTTTCAACTGAAGAACAACTGGAGGAACCCAAGTTTGATTTTCCTCAGTTAAAAGTCTTGAAGCTATTTAATTTGACTCAGCTCACTAATTTCTATCCAAAAAAATATATTCTAGAATGTCCTTCATTGAAGAGCTTAAATGTTCGTGGATGCAAAGAAATGAGAATATTTGCATTTGATCATTTGAATTCCCAACCGCTTTGGAAGGATGACATCAATTTGCAAATTAAACAAGCTTTGTTTCATATTAGAAAGGTATGCATTCTTTATTTGTTCAATCTACTTGTCTTTAATTTCATTCTTTTAATGCATGGTCAAGGATATCCATAATCATATATATGCATTGTAAAAATGTAAAACAATGGCTTATGTTAACTAGTTATTATATAATGAAAGAAACAAATTATATTTTGTCTTTTCAGGTGTCCCAAAGTTTGCAAGAGTTGCCATTAAATGAAGAGGACACTATGAGGATATTGAAAGGAAACTATGAGAAAAATCTCTTTAAGAGCATAACAATGCTTCGGTTGCAATATTTTCGGGAAACTCCAATAAAGTTTCTAGATGATTTGATTCGAAAATTTCCAGCCACAACCACACTTCAAGCACGTTGTAGTTCTTTTGAAACACTCTTTCCTTCAAAAGAAATTGGTCATTGCAGTATTGATAGTCTCACACACATTAAAACATTGTGGCTATTTCAATTGGAGCAACTTGAGCGTATATGGAATGCTGACGACTCAGCATCTCATCCCCTAGTTCAAAACCTTGAACATCTATATATATGGGAATGTTCAGGGATAATAAGATTGGCACCGCCTTCTGCATCTTTCAAAAATTTAATTTCCTTGGAAGTGAAGGGTTGCAATGGACTAATGTATTTCATGACATCTTGCACTGCTAAAACTCTTGTCCACCTCACAAGCTTAAGTGTTATCAACTGTGGGATGCTAGAGGAAGTTGTGATAACAGATGAAGGAGAATTAGAAGAAGAGATCACATTTGAAAGCTTGAAGTGTTTGAAACTAACTTGTTTATCAAGCTTGAAAAGCTTTTGCTTTGGAGAACACACCTTGATATTCCCATCTCTAATGACATTAACAGTGATAGGATGCAACAAAATGCAGAATTTCTCATCTGGAGTCATCATTGCCCCATTTTTGAAATTAGTGGTAGCGGAAAATGGAGAGAAGCGTTGGAAAGAAGATCTTAACACCACCATAATGCAGTTGGTCGTAGATAAGGTATGAAAGTGAAAATTGTAAATCCCAAAAATTTTTATACCCTTCTTATCTTCTTCTTCATTTCTATCTTCCCTCATGAGTGATAAGCTTTGCTTGCGCGCTTTTGAACTCTATTTGAAGAAACTAAAGAGAAATATTCAAACAAAATATTTTAGTAACAAAAAAATGTTCATGATATATTTATTGATGCATCTGAAAATATTTCAATAAAAAATAAGTATTTCTTTCCAAGCTACTTGTTAGGATGCACATTAATTCTCATATCATTATATTAGTGTTAGCCAAAAGGAAAAAACACTCATATCATTATAAATCACTTTCAAAGGAGGTGTATTGAGCTCTAGTTAGATACCTATTGATTCTGGAAATTTATACTAAATGTAAAACGTGTATTTAGCGTCATAATATGATGTTTGCTTCCTTTTTCCTCAATTAGGCAACTAACGAAGGAGTTGAAGGTGACTGCAATGAATCTTCAAGTATAAATATACAAAGTAGTCAAACATATCAAAAGAGCGAGAGTACAAGTAGAGCATTGACTTCTAAGGTGCATGGGGTAAAATCAAAGGCTAATGAGATTGTTGATTCAGGGAAGCAAGAAATCCACAAACTTCCTACTCCACATACAGGTAATAATCAATATTGTTTTGTATTTTTCGTTCATTCATAAATGATTGTTATATTGCTCAAATATTGGCCTTAATTTTCTTCTTTTTTCACAGATTCTATAGTGGCTTTCCATATTACTGTTCTAAAGTTATAACCTTATTTTATTATTGCTGCAACCTCATGTCATATTCTATATTTGTTTAGATATTAACACGCAAAAGATATCTGAAATCACTGAGACGCCCCTGGATCAAGCTAGTCAAAACAAATCAAGTCCTACAAAAGTTGATGCAGGTGCTGATCTTATTATGCAATACTATTTTTTATTTATTTGGAAGGAAGTAATTTATTAGCATTTTGGGGAAAAAATTGTCTTATTTCATTTTTGCAAAACAAATTGTTTGTTGAGTTATTGAGATTCGAGAGATATGCATTATATTTAAACTTTCCTTAGCTTCTCTACTGGGAACCCGATATTACGTACACTCATCAAGACACGGGGCTTTGGGTTCAAAAACAATCCCACTTATTTCATTCTAGTCTGTTCCTCTAAAAGAAGTAAGGAGTGTGTGTCCGTGTGGCTGACAACTTTAATCTTAGCTTATTAAATCAAATATCCACACAATCCTGAAACTCATCTTCATGCTTATGTGGGGCACATTTTAAGCTTCATACGTTCGGCTTAATCTTAACCCAAAATCATTTTTGGGCTTGGGATAATAAATTTATTATTTTACCCCTTCTTTATTAGGACTTAATTATCAAATAAAACCCAAAAAATAATCCTTGATAGTTTATAAGGATTTTATTTCTTAATTAGCTTCTTTAGACTATAAAATAATTTCTCTAAAATTTCCAAGCCAAAAATAAAAATATAACTATTTTTAATTAAATATTTGGTAAATTAGGGCCTTATCTGCCATAAATTAGGTTTAAAATTAGTTAAGAAATTTTGGGGGAATTAAACCTCTTCATAATTTTTATAAAGCCTCAAAATAATGTTTCATAAAGTTATGATTTTTTTTTGTTTCATTTTGTGTGCTATATTCTAATGTTATAGGCTCATTAATTGTCATGGTGCTCTATTTTTTATCAATTAATATTTCGACCTCTAAACCACGTAAATCAAAATATATTAAAGAAATCGCTTGCTCGATACAAAAATACTTCTCAATAGGAATTTAACTAGTCAAAATATTAAACTTTGTAGTAGCTAAAAGAAGAACAGGTAACTTTTTTTAGAGTTTTTAGAATGAATTTTTCCATTAAAATATGAATCATCCTGGTTTCTGAATTCCATTTTACTTGTTTATATAGTTACTGATCCATCACCATCACAAGGTGAAGAAGCCGTGACCTCATCAAACCAAGATGAAGGTACTGATCTTGTTTTTTGGTTTCTAGTTTCTATAATTAATTCAATTTCTTTGTCTACATTTCATGACATTAGGGTTCAATAATCTCGAGCTAAATTTATTGACTGTAAGTTTTTCGAGCACAAGTGAGACAAAATCTAATAGAAAAAGGAGACAGAAACATCCAAGTGGTAATATATTTAATCAAGCCATAACTTTTAAAATTATTGACAATAAAAAAAGTAAGGCATTTTCCTTTTTTTTGGTTAGATAAAGCTAATTTACTTTTATTTTTGCAAATTAGTTTCATTTGTTTACTGAGTTTTTTTTTAAAATTAATTGTTTAGCTCTTCAAAATCAAGAGATGCATGAGATCAGCGTTGTGATGTCACTAGCTCAAACAACTAAAATTGCTCTAAGCACGACCAAATTTTATGATGCAGGTACTTGTATTGTTTAGCAGACTATAAAATATGCACCAAATGATCTAAAATTGCTCTGGGACGTTTAATGACTCCATCATAGTACTTTCTGATTTATTAATTTTTTTATATCTTTTTTGCTGAATTGGAATGCACTAGATAAATCACAGGATATACAACTTCATTCAAGTGAAAATTTGCTGGTCCAGACCACAACGTCCATTATGAATGATTACGAAGAAAGTAATATTACTTTTTGAAGAAATTAATTTTATTTATCTTTTTTGCAAAATACGTGTTATTCTTTTTTTTTTCCTTTGCTTTTTTCTTCTAAAAAATAAACATGATTGTTTAGATACTGGGACTAAAGAGATGCATGAAACCATTCAAAAACCGTTGGTTCAAAATGCTGAAGACGTGTTGATTCCTGCCTCAGTTCAAGACATTGGTATTGGTCACTGCAATTTATACATAGGAAGGAAAAAATTATGTTTATTTTGCCAAAATCTTCTCATTCTAATTTTTTTTTTTACCCCTTTTGGTTTGTTTTACTTGTGTAGCTACAGGGACTCAAGTGACGCATGGGAGCTTTCATAAACCCTTCGATCAAGCTACACAAAACGCATGGGACATTACCATATTACAGAATAAAGGTTTAATTTAATAAACCTGGTTTTGTTGTCTCCAAATTTGCAATATCTATTCTCTAACTTCTTTGTTATATTAGAAGAGTTATAGAAGTCTTTGGATTAATTAATGATTCTAATTAACCTTTTATTGTATTAATTGAAATCAAGTAGAAGAATCACATGACTCAGATATTCACCTCAGTAAGAATTTGTTCGATCATACCACAAATTCAATGGCTACAGGCTACAAAGAAAGTAATGCATTTTTTTAACTTGTTGAAGAGGAAATTTGTTTTAATTTTGCCAAAATCTTGTGTCACTCTATTTTAATTTCAATTTTTTTAACAAATTATTTGTCCAGCTACTGGGATTCAAGAGATACATGAATCCAAGAGGCGATTCTCAGTTCACGATGTACAAAATGTATGGAGTCCTACCATGGTTTACGATACAGGTATATTGATATCATATTATTTTATATTCTCATTCCGTTAATTTTTTTTTGTAGTGTCTAATATACTTCAGGCATTATTGATCTAATAATAATGTTTAATAACTCATTAATTTGTATGGGAAACTCCATTTTATTAATTAATTCATTTTCCTAACATTTTGTTGTGTGAATTTGAAATATATTAGGAAGATCAGATGACACAGACATAATTCTTGGAAATAACTTGTCCTATAAAACTACAAATTCTGTAATGGCTGAAAACCCAGCAGGTAATGCATTTTAGTCTTCTATAAGAAAGAAAATAAATTTTCTTTTGTTTTTGTTACAAACCTCGAGTCATCCTATTTCCTGTCTTTTCCTTTTACTTATTTAATCATCAATTATAGATCTAGCTCTTTCACAAGCTTCAAAAGCTGCGTCTTCGTCAACAACACTCGTAGCAGATATTTGCACCAGCTTTAAGGAGGTGGACGGGTTGTTGCCATATTTGGAGGCTGGGGTGATGCGACATCCCCAAGTGCTTAATTGGTTCAATACAAAGCCACGAAGAGCATTCACTGCCTTGTTCACCGAAGTCACTAGTATTTTGAGAACCACTCGAAGACGTGACTTGAAAAAAGATCATCAAAACTACATCGAAGAATGTTGTGCTGCCTTAGAAGCAGTTGGTTTTGATGCTTCTTGGCTCAACTATGTGTATGGCTGTATTGAGAGTTGTGGTGATGGAGATGAACTCAGGAGAAAGCTTGAGGAGATTGAAGCAAAAGTTTCCACTCTTAGAAACGAGTTAGCTTCTGCAGAGGCATCCTTAGTCTCATTACGGGACGAGGCAAGCAGGCTCGATAATTTTATTGAGTCATAAAATTCACTCATAAAACTCATTTCTTGACTGGCTCAATACAAGACATTGCTTCCTCCCCCTTAGTGTTGTTGCTTGGCATTTTCATTTTCAGCACTATAGATTTACTTTTGAATGCTGTTTTGTGATTTGTCTAAGGCACATTAATAGTAATCTGTCAATTGAATCTGATGCACTTGTTCTGTAAGGATATTGAAGGAAATGGCATTTTCATATCTTTTTCTGGACGCTATTTTAATTATTTGGTTTTAGATTGCGATGTTCGAGATTAGTTTTTAGTCTAAAAATAAGATAACATGTTTAGTATTTCTTACTTTTACTGTCCATTAGCTGAAAATATCAAGCACTCTATTCCAATTGAGCAAGATAGAATATGCTTCATTGAATGAGTTTGGATTTTGTATACTGAATATATATATCGTTGCAAAGCAATAGCATGGCATAAGGATCAACCATTGATTTTGAATTTGATTATCTTTTTAGAAGAAGTATAATGATTAGTTTATTTCTAATTTTGCTTCGCCACCACTAAAATATGCTCTTTCTAGTCTAGAAACACAAATAGGAAGGCTCTAATGAAATCAGTTGTTTCTTCACACAAAAATCAGCGAAAAGCTTGTGAAAATACTCTGAAGCACTAAATTACGTGCTTAGTGGCTCTTGTATATTTATGCAATAATACAATACAACATTCTAGAATATGTACAGCTGTAAGGAATCATAACAGAACCTATAGCTATAAGCCATGTATACAAATGTTGTTACTATGGATTAACATTAATCAATAATATAATCTAAGACTAAACTCTAACATCCCTCTCAAACGACAAGGGGCTACTGCCATCCTGAGTGTGAGGGGGAATGCTAGAAATTAGTCTTGTTAACATTAATCAATAACATAATCTAAGAATTGAAACTGTGACTCTGACACAAGCTTCATTAAGTAATTTGCAATCTATACTACTAGAAAAAAACCATTTAACGACGGTTAAAATGAGCTTTCCATGACGGTTAAAATGAGTCGCAATGAATTTCGCTGACGTTGTAATGAGAAAACAGACTTTCCATGGTGGTTTTATGAAACAAACCACCCTGGAAAGTATGTTTTTAATGGCGGTTATTGTATTTAACTGTTGTTAAAAAAATTTTCATAGTGGTTATCCAAATAACCATCGTAAAATGTTTGTGAATTTTTTTTACATACTGTGATAAATTTTCTATACAGCCTCCTTGCAATTTACAGACCATTTCCAACCAGTGTAGCAGGAAAATGCAAAACCATATCAAGACATAAACTCAATCCTAACACTAACATCCAATTCTTATTCAATCAACTACACCTAATAATTAACAACTTAACTAGTTAATAATCAAACAATGAACTTAAATGTTAAGGATTTAACTATTTCACATTTTCAAAACTCTCAAGCAATGCTGTTGACAAAGTATCCCTCATTATGTTGATTTCCTAGGCATCATAGGGCACATTATCTTGGAATGCCTATAAATTAAAAATAATATAGTCATTAGTCAACTTGGTCAAAAATGTGAAAAGAATTGAAGAATTACAATGTAACTTATATTTACCTCGTCTAACTTCTCAGTAACCTCTGTCTTAATGATGTCATTCATATAGTGGATGACATAATATCTATATTCAACACTCTTGGGTTGACAACGATACTAACAATATGAAATATAAAATTGAATATCTAAGTTTGATCGGCTAAAAAATTTATAAACATATACTTAGCTTAGAACAACATACTTGTGGGAGAATCCATATTTGCTGTTGCTTATTTTTCTGCTTGGCCACAATATTAAAATTACGAAAAGCCTTATTAGCAACCAGGAAAAAAATGATATTAGAGCATGTTTTTTAAACTTTACACATAATGAATATATAAACATAAACTCACGTATCAATGACATCTCTAGTTTCGTCTTCTGGACCTCCACAGAGGGAATTGAACTAGTAGCCATTGTTATCAAGGGGACAAAAACAACGAGGGCCCAATGATAACTACACAATATGAACCATGTTAATTATAATTCTATATATATAATTTTTGTGTCCAAATACAATAATATACTTACCTTTCCACGTAAGGTGCAAAATATAATTTTTTTTTTGTTTGAGTCATTATAGTCACCATGTAAATCGACCTCGCTTTCACAGTATTTATTAGTTTCTGCATCTTTTGAGAACCCATATGTGCCCTCAAGTCCTCCATCCCAGTAGACAGGGGTGAAGTGCCTGTTGTTCAAATAAGAAACATTACGACGTGCATAAGTATAACATGAAATAAGAAAATGATTTTGTAACTTACAAAATAACTAGCTGCATGAAGACTATATGTAACTCCCCAAAATTAGCAACTGAACGACGTCCTTCTCGTCAATGGTGAAGTCATATGATTAAATCTGAGATCACATAACTATTAAACTGAGTCCCTTTAGGACCTATTCCCTTCAAATCATCATCAAACTATATTGTTATCCTCGTGGACTGTGTGGTATCATCATGTAAAGTTAACTTCTTCATACGAGTAGGCCCTCTGCCCCTTTTCTTACTAGTAATGGAGTTGTCATTACTAGAATCCAATTGGTCATAACCTTGTTGACCAGATCCTTCCATTTCCTATTCAAAAAACAACAACAAATGTAATAATGAGAAACATCAAATAAATTTAATAAGAAACATCACATTATGAATAAATAATGGAAAGATAATAAATGATAAATATCAAATAAATTTAATAAGAAATATCAAATAATTTATTTAGGCCTTACAATGATTATTCTTCTAAAATTCTTCACAATGATCATCCCTAATAGCATAGTCATCATCTACCAAATCTAATTCAGTTGTTTTAGGTCAAGTAGTTGTGAAAGGCGAGGTTTTGTCGAGATTGAACTCTAAGTCACTATCATCTCTACCAATTGCTTGCCTCTTACCTTAGAGCATGATAAACAATTTTTTCTTTGCTAAATCAATGACATAATACACTTATTTCGCTTGACTTGCTACAATAAATAGCTCATCTCTATATCCAATCCTCTCAAGATCAACTGAAACAAATCCAAATTCTTCATTTACTTACACAGTATTACTATCAACCCACTTACATTTGAAGACGAGAACTTTAAACATGGTATAATTAACCTCCCATATCTCTTCTATTACTCCATAATAGGACATAGATGCCAACGTTGAGTTTGTATCCTTTGAATTAGCAAAATGCATAGGTTTGACTACTACCATCACTATTCTGGATAGTACTCTTATCATTTTGGGCTTTTATGTAAAATGAATAGCCATTTATGTCTTATCCACCCCCACACACAATCTCAAAATGAGGCCCTGCAGCTAGCCTTTGTATTGTCTCAAAAAGATTGCCATACTTCAACACTTCTTGCTTGAACTGCTCTGCAATTGACTTGTTATACTCATTAGCTAGTTGCATATCATTCTTTCTTGGATTCATGTTCTTCAGCATATTCTTGTGAGCATCCAAGTAAGGTAAGACTTCATCCATGTTGTTTAAAATATATGAATGTGCTTGCATTACAACTTCATGAGACATGGACCTCACTATGACACCCCATGTTCCCTTGCTTCTCTCATGATTATATCAAGATTAAGGAAGTCCAACACGCCTTTATCCTATGAAGATATGCATTAGAAAACTCAAATGCTTCCTCAGCTACATATCTCTCAAATGGGTACATCTACCTTAAACACATAAGGCCACAAAGTCTTATCTCTTGCATAAGGTGAGCTATCAACTGGACCATAATGTTAAACAATGATGGAGGAAAGTGCATTTCTAATTAAGAGAGGATCATATAACCTTTATTTTCTAATTCATCTAACTCAGCAGGATCAATAACTTTGCTATAAATAACATTGAAAAACATACAAAGTTTCGTAATAGTGCTTCTCGCATCATGTTTCATAATACCTTAGATAGCAACTGAAAGTAATTGTTGCATCAACATGTGACAATTGTGCAACTTCATCCCTGTTATCTTCAAATCTTGCATTGAAACCAGCTTCCTCAAATTAGAAAAATAACCTTGTGCCACCTTAACACCATTCAAAAAATCACAAAAACTTATTTTCTCTTCTTTTAATAATATGTGCAAATAAACCCTCTTATCCTCTCTTTCTTGTGGGTAGAGTAGTTTTCCTATTCCAATTTTGACTAAGTCCCGTCTTGCATTGATTCCATCCTTAGTCTTTCCACTTATATGTAAAAGTGTACCAACAAGGCTCTCACACATGTTTTTCTCCACATGCATCACATCTAGATTATGCCTCATATCAAGACTCCACTAAGATGGAAGGAAAATAAATAGGGGGAATTACAATCAAGTCCCACGGAAGAGAAATAATTACTAAAAGGTCCAAATAACAACCTTAGCAGCTTATAATGACAAGTCCTATAGTGAGAATGACAGCTTCTGAGACTTGTTTTTCAATTGTTTTCCTTGCTTGGGACCTCATTGTAATTCTCCCAAAAAAACATATCTTTTCTTCCATGTATTCCTCTCACCTGTAATCTTCTTCTTTTTATAGAAGATCACATTAACTCCCTCTACTTGTTGATAACCTTCTTCTCTAATTAATAGTATTGGAGCTGTTTGATATTATTATGAGCCGTTAAATGCCTTCTTCAATCTTCAGTAAGGGTGGTGCTAACTGGGAAACCTTCTGTGATCAAGGTAGACTATTTTCCTTCCATGTTTGACTTGTATGTAGTGAGTGCTTTTTTACATATCTGACATCTTTTATACCCCTTTAACACTGTACCCTGACAAATTTTCATATGCCAAAAAGTCATTTATCATGACGAAGATCATGACATATAAATTGAAGGTCTCTTGTTTATATGCATTAAACATGTCAACACCTTTCTTCCATAATTTCTTCAAGTCCTCAATCAAAGATGCTAAGTATACTTTGATATCGTTTCCTGGCTGTTTTGCCCCCAAGATCA